TGGGAATGAGCAGCACAAACCCATAGGCAGGGATGCCCAGATATGGGACAGGAGAGGGGGCTGAGTACACCAGGGCGCTGCATGCAAGCAATGAGGAAAGAACCTGGAAAGACCAGGTCCACCAGGAACAGGGTACAGGAACAGATACAGAGGCAGAACTTGCCAGAACCCAGATACTTAACCAGGAACATTCCAGTAGTTGGAGGGCAACATGTACCTCAAGAAACCTACTGTGTCTCAAAGAGCTTTAACTCTGAGCCTCAATGAAAGATGGTAACTAGAAAGCTTCAGCTAACTGGAGCCGACAGGATGAAGCTCTAAGAACCATCCTTTGGGTCCTTATGTACTGCATTCACAGAATGAAAAAGAACAAAGTTGGAAGTCGTGTGACTTTAATAGATTTTCTGTAGGAACACCTTTTCTAAATTTCCTTATGTTGCTGTGGAGCTGAGACACAAAAGTCATCTTTATAAGAATGAGCAAGGGTGGTGTGCTAGAAAGCATCACCTGCAAATAAAAAGTAACCGTGGACCTAGTCACTCACTCCTGATTTACAGAATTTATCACCAAGCTCTTTTCGATAACATTTCTTGTTCACATGTATATTCCATAATGAGACATACAGGAGACTTCTGCCGATAGAAATGTCTACTCTGTACTTGGTACACTGTCACTCTCTGAAGTGCAAAGGTCTTACATACATCATCCTTACCTCAGTTATGTGTACACAGATCCTTGCTTTCCTGGTCCAACAAAAGGACCCATAATGGTTCCCTGGTGAACTCTGCCTTGTGGCTGTACCAACGACCCCGCATAGATTCCATAGGAAAGAAGTTACTTGTTGAAAACTGCTCATGCATAAGCTTAAGAATCCAGAATCTCTTGATACAGCAAACTTAACAGCAGGCAAAAGATCCCTTTCCCTTAAAGGAAAAAAAAGGCTCAAAGATGCTTAAATTTTTTTTATTTTAAAAATAGATTCATAAAGTGCAAGAACTTATTTCTTTCCGGTATTCTACATCCATCTTCAGCAAGCTGTTGGAAACAGAAAAAAAAAGAAAAGGTTAGTAATACACTCTTTAACTTCAAATAATTATGCTGTAGCTTTAGGTCCACCAGGAACCTAAAGGAATAGTTCCTTTTACCTTTAGCTGACATTGGTGTCTTGCCAAGGGTAAGCTCAGCACCTATTTATTTTTGCTCAGCAATAGAATTTGAACCACGTGTGTGTAACTTAAAATCCTCTGGTAACTTGAATTATTAAGATCTGCTATTACAAGAAAACAGAGGTCCTGAAAATCTATGACAAATAGCTCTGATGAGAAAGTCTGGACTAAATGCAAGGATTCTGACTTCCAGACCACTGCTCTTTCCTCTTCACCAACTTCCCACAACCTGAGTTTTCTGACTGGAGTTTACAAAACGTTAATGCAAAGAGGTCCCCGGGAGCCACGGGGATGCACGGAGGGGGAGCAGATGCAAGAGGCATCTCTGTGGTTCCCATGGCCTTTCCTTTTTGCCTTGTCGTTCTTTCCGGGATCTTTCACTTTTAATGATGTCAGGGTGCGGTGACCCTGCACAAGGCAAGTCAGTGCCACCAAACCCCCAAAGGGAGCTCAACTATTACACCCAAGCGCTACTACTCAGCAAAGTTCCTCCTCCTGGTCTCCGGGGAGGGGAGCAAGTCCCTCCCGGCGGCCCCAGACTACTGCGGACCCAAGCCCCGCGTTCCATCAGCTCACCGACGCTGGGGAAGGGCCGGCCCCGCGGGCGGGAGGGCGAAGGAGCCGGGCAGGAGGGCGAAGGAGCCGGGCGCGCGCGCGCATCGCTTGGCGGCCACTCAGGCCAGGTCCAGCTTCTTCTGCGTCGTCGCCAGCTTGTCCTGCAGCCTCCGCTTCCTCCAGTCCAGGTAGCGCCTCCTTAGCCGGTTCGCCTGCCAGCCGACGAGCACTCCGGAGGCGAAAGCCACCAGCACTGACACCTGCAGCGTCCTCTCGGACACGTCCGCCATCGCGGCCGCCCGGCGTGCACCGCGGCCTACGGCGCTGCGCGAGGGTCAAGCAACGCCGCGTTCACAGCGGGCACCCGGCGAAGAGCCAGCGGAGCAGCGGCTTGCGCGGGGCGTCCTGCAGGGTGTGTCAGCAACAGGTCGGCCTTCTCCAGAGACCTTCCCAGTGCTTGGAGAGCCCGTCTGCACCCCTCTGAGCCCTCCACAGTGTTCCATCTATCATTAATCAGATGTTTCCTTGCACTATTAGCTGACATTGGTGTCTTGCCAAGGGTAAGCTCAGCACCTCTTTATTTTTGCTCAGCAATAGAATTTGAACCACGTGTGCAACTTAAAATCCTCTGGTAACTCGTTTCTTTCAAAAATAAGTACAAGCAGATAAAATTGT